TCAGTTGTGGAAATATATGTATACAAAAACTAAGCACGATAAATCTTCCATTACAACAACTACAGCTACATCCGTGAAAATTGGCAACTTGAATTCCCACCTAGAAATCAGCCACATATTTACAGACAAGATTGGCAGAAAGGTTTCATCCAAAAAAGAGAAACGGATGGAAAATTTTGGAATACCTACCAAATCCTAAGAGGAAGGATCAGGTGAAACCAAATATTGGGAAAAACCAAAATAGTACCTTGAATCTTTCCAGCTCGGGACAGTTTATACAGACCCTTTGGATCCCGGGCTTCACATACCTTAAGTGGCACATCAAGGAAAACCTGTAAAAATATTGCAGAACCCAGCGGTCAACAATGAAGACATGACCATCTTATCAATGTCCAGAACTCTAATGCCTTGCCCTGGTTGTGAACTCAATAACCGGAAATAAAACTATGCCCTGATAATATGCAACGCAAGAATTAGTATAACATGCCTCAATGAAATCGCCTTCTGCCAACAGGGCTCGACAGGCATCTCTGTCCTTCCGGAAAGGGGATATTAAACTAGCAATACAAATAATCCCAGCATCTGCGAATAGGCTTGCTACCTCACCTGTTGACCATCTTGATTAATATTCACGAAATCTGGGTGATGCAAGAAATGTCAATGGAAATATTTCATCTGATAGAGAATGCCACCCACCAATTCTCCTTATGTTTTCCGCTCGATCTTTGGATTCAAAACTAAGATCACTGTTTAGACCATGCCTAATATTGTCACCATCAAGGACGTAGGTCAGCTTTCTTCTTGAATGCAAGCCTTGGCTTAATGCACATGCCAAAGTGCTTTTTCCTATAATTAGAGCCCTAGGTGAGAGAGAGGGAGAGAGTAACTACAGTGAAAGGATCATTCTATACATAAGCATATTAAACAACTCTCTTAATTGTACCAGAACCACCGTACAACGTAAAATACCAGTTTGATGATAATGGAATCTCTTTTTCAGGAAAAGTTCATATGATTGATCATGAGAATGATAATTAGTTATGACCAATAAATTTACTCATACCTTTTGAAATAGAAACAATAAACATGTATCGTTACTGACAAGCAGCTGCAATTTTTATTTCCTTATTTCAGTCTACTACTCTAACTCTATACGGAGATGATAAGAGTTGAAAACAACGAAGTCAACCGTGTCTAGCCAATTAGTCTATAATTTAGTCTCTTAATCGAGTATATTCTCCATGAAACGAACAACTAAGTCACATAACTTGTAAATAACTTGTAGACTCCATACTACAAAAAAATAATTATTTAAAAACTGCATAAAGGCAATCAAAAAAATTCAGATGATCTATCCTGCAATCTGGGTCAGTGAAATAAGTCTTACAAACTTCTGACTAACAAAAGAAACCAAACGAGGATAGAAATCGAAAAAATTAAGTGACGGGCATTTGAGATAAAAGTTTCTGAGCAAAATAAAGGCCAAAATCACATAGAAGGAATGATAACAGTTATAATGGAGAAAGTGATGATGGTCCTCAAAATTCAACAAGAAATAAGACCAGTTACCAGTTGGAAAACACAAGGACTAACCTGAACCACTGAGACCAGTTATCCATATGACACAGCCTTTCTGCTGAATCAACTTTTCTCTTTGAGGCTTCCCGATGGGGCAATCGTGCCAGACGATATTTGTCGACTTCCCACCAGTTGAGGTCTCATGGCAACCTTTACCTAATTATGAGATGGTTGGACCAAATTAGAGATACCCAAGTAGTTTCAAAATTCAGTAAACTAACGAGTCTTGATGAGTCAAGTAGTTTCAAAATTCAGTAAACATAATTAGAGCTCGGTTAATAACGAGTTATGACCTTGTAAAGTCAAGCTAAGAAACTATATCTGAAGTAATATACCAATAAACAATTTGGTATGCATCAGCCTTGCCATTGAACTATACAAAAGATATGAAAATCGTAATTTTGTGTTTTACCTCTCTCCAAAGGCACAACTAACATCTATTGAATACGAACAATTACCTAATTGATGGCACCAATGATCCAGATGGTAATTAATCGGATGTTTTATAGGGATAGAAGGAAAAGAAAAAATTCATATCTTATGGGAATAGAAAAATTCAAGCCAAAACTCATTTAGTTTTAAACCTAAGACTGATTCACATACGACATATTGCTTACCAATATAATTTCCAAAACTTCAAATTGGCGGGTTCAAAAATATCAATCCGGAATGAAAGCTCTTAAACATTCTTTGATTTACATGAATTTGTTACAGTCTTAATAAAAAGAACCAAACGCGATTTTAAAAAATTAAGTACCGTGAATCGCAGAGCAATTGTTCGTCAACGCTTTAAATGGTTGGAAAAAACCAGTAGCAACAGCATAGCAACAGAACCGACATCCTCCACAACTCCACTTCAATCCAATCGCATTGTTCACAGCAACGTTCACCAGCTTCAACCTCCCCAAAGATGAGGAGATCAACGGCCGGTATTCATTCATGCGAACCAGCGGTCGCGCCACTTGCAACGTGACCATCTTGGATCTGAACACAGAAAAATGCATCAGGAAGCACAGAATAATACTCTAAAAAAGAGATTCGAAACTCCGAAAGCCTCGGTCGAGAATCTACATAAATATAGATAAACAAGAAAGCATTAGATACAAAAATACATACAAGATTGAAAATAGCGTTGAAAAAGGTCCGACGGAGGAGGTAGCGGAGGTAGTTTCGTGAACAATGGGACATCCACCTGTAACTCAGCTCGGATAAATGGGAATGGCAACTGAAAAAGGCAGAGAGACGACAGAAAGCGGATGTGTAAAGCAACAACAGCGTGGGTGAGGAGGGAGGCTCAGCTGTCACTAGAAGATGGAATCCACACAAGGAATCAAGCACTAATTACTCAGCTTTTCGCAATATATTTGGATAACGACTATGAATGTGCTGCGCAGAAATTGTTAATTTCTTTAGCTTTGTCACGGTGTGAATTCGTCATTCTTCCAATCAATCCATCTATCGAACGGAAACTAATAAAATAAATTGCATCTTTAATTCTAACCCAAATAAACAAGTTCTTTGCATTTAAAGTTATTAAAATAAACAATTTTAATAAAAGGTTCAAATTCTACATTAAAAAATAAAATTTTTATATAATGATATTGAAAATTCTAAATACTTTTAGAAAAGTACTTAATTCATCTTCGTTTTTTTTTTAACTGCCTAAGATATTTACTTCTATCTTATAAAAGAAATTCAAAATTTCCCAACATTTTAAGTGAATGGTTTTCTAAAAAATAAAATAAAATAAATGTAATATAAATTAGTGTTTTTTTTTCTTCTAAGTGGTATTTAATATCTTAATTGTTGAATTAAAAAATGAGGAAATAATAAATAAACTTTTGCCATTTTGATTTCAACATTATTATACAATCCTATTGTTCTGTATGATAACGAAAGTTTTAGTAATCTAGCAAGCTTCTCTGGTTTGGAAAATAGCTTGCAGGTGAAAATTGGTGTGGCAGCGGCAGCGGGAATGACGGCGACGGCGAGTGAGTTAATGAAAAAATACTCAATTGACCTTCACTGGTAGCAGCCACCGCCGTTACTAAATTGCATTCTACGGTGGTGATGTCATGTATGCTGGATCTCTTCCGGTCTTTCTTTGCCGACTCTTGGCGTAGAAAATACTTCTGGGCATGGCTGGCTACTTGAGTTGGCGTTCTCGTAATCACCACGTTTCTGGAAATACTTCTCCAATCACCCTTTCCAAATTTCTTCAGCCCCAATAAAAATAGCCTGCCAATGTTATAATTTTTTTTAGTACAATAAGGTGAAAATTTGACATGAAGCATGTTGGGGATGTTTTATGTATAGGAAATGAACGTACTGGTGTTCCTTTTTGGTCCAGGGCTTCCCCTTCTTCCTCTCAGACGCTTTCTCCGGCAGCTGACCCGGCGACTCCCTCTCCGGCGAACTCAACAACGACTCATCGGCATAGTTCGGTAGTTCAACTCGTCCAGAGTCGATGTTCTGTACGTCAGAAACCAAGGCGTCGTAATGGTCTCTAACCTCGGCCGCTGATTTACCAGGAACAAGACCGGCGATCTTCATCCAACGGTTGGGAGAATTCTCCGGCACCATGACGAGAGCGTGCTCGAAAATCTTGTCCTGGTGGCGAGTCCAGGGAGTGGGAGAAGGAATTGAAGTGGTGGGGCTCCAATAATGGTCGAGAAGGCCGAAGGAAGAAGAAGGGGCTTCCATTGGCCTCCTCGTCGCGGGGCTGACAGAAAGAAGGGGCAGCAGAATTCCGAGAAAGGGAGCTCGGGAGGGATGGGGATTTGAAGGGGGAGGGGGGTAAAAGTGAGAGGCATGGTGCACGTGAGAGAAGAAGAAATATTTGCGGGGCTAAAGATGGGGGAGCCAACGGATTCACCCCAGTAAAAAGTAAATTTCAACACGCTTTATCCCTCTTTCCTATATATTTTTTGCATTTTTTACAGCTTTAACGTTCCTTTTTGGGTCGAGTGTGTGGTTGTTTTTTAAATTGCTATTTTTGTTTCATTTCCCCTGTGTTTCTTCAGCTGGTTTCCTTAAATTCTTATTAGTACTCATTCTAATTAAATTTAAAATTTTAATATAAAAGGTGGGATCCTCTCGAAAAGGGATTCGTATCTGATTAATTATATATATAATTTGTTTGAAATAAATTTAATTTTTTTAATTATACTTGATATGGTATAGTAACGATAGACTTAATAAGAAATGAAAATAATATAAGTTAAATAATATTGATACAATATTTCTATTTTATTGAATGAATTAAATTATTTTTATTGATACAATACTTAGTTATATTTCCAATGGACAAATTTGGGCCCGCTAAGTTTGAAGTCCAAATCAAGGCCCATCCTAAAGCCAGAATGCCTTGGGCCAAAATAAATAGTATCATCTGTGTATAAAACCCTTGAAACCCTAACGGCGGATGTCGCCCTTCGTTCGCCTTTTTCTAGTTTCTCCCCCTTCCCCTTCTCCCCCACTCCCCCACTCCCCCACCGGCCGCCATGAAGTACAACCCTAGGGTTTCCAGTTCCCGCCGCAAGAGCCGCAAGGCTCATTTTTCTGCGCCGTCGAGCGTTCGTCGGGTTATTATGAGTGCTCCTCTCTCGAATGACCTCCGGTCAAAGTACAATGTCCGATCCATGCCGATTAGGAAGGATGATGAGGTCCAAGTTGTTCGTGGAACTTACAAGGGCCGGGAAGGCAAGGTAGTGCAGGTGTACCGTAGAAAGTGGGTCATCCACATTGAGCGAATCACTCGTGAGAAGGTTAATGGATCCACTGTTAATGTCGGTATCAACCCCTCGAAGGTCGTGATTACAAAGCTCAGGCTGGACAAGGACCGCAAGTCACTTCTGGATCGTAAAGGTAAGGGCCGTGCTGCCGCTGACAAGGACAAGGGGACCAAGTTCTCCGCAGAGGATATCATGCAGAGCGTCGATTAATTTTGAAAATGGTGATGTTTAAGTTGATAGACTGTTCTCATTCATAGTTATCTAGCGAGTTTTTGATTAAGACATTAGGAAAAATTTCCTCGGACATGTGGCTACGATTGTCTACTTTGGAGGCCTTGATTTATGGTATTTTGAAATCACATTTTGTCATTTCAATGCGCTACTCTTTATTCTTGGTTATTACTGTTGCTACATGATGATTTTTGTTTGCTTAATGGGGTTCCAATTCCTGTACATGCTGTATGAAATTGGCTCTGATGGCACTTGTGTTTATTGGGTTTTTTTTTTTTTTTTAAACAACTCAACTTTTATCGTTCAATTTGTGAAGTGTTCTCTACATGTGGATTAACTTGTTCCCAATTTATTTTCTACTTCAAATTATTATGGTCGTGTTTTTCTGGCCAACTCTATTGATTTTTGTTGATGTGCGTGTTTGGTATTAGGGGTTTTTAGTGTTACGGCTTCCTGCTCTTTTCCTGGTCGTGGTGTTACGCCATTAAGTCTTTGTGTCGTTCAACTTTGTCTTTCTATTTGAGTTCCTGACACTTTGTCTTAGGATTCAAGAATCTTGAATCTGTGAAGATTCAAATATCTTGGAACTAGTCGTCAAACATACTGGTGATTGGTGCTGTAACTCACTCAAGCCCAGTTGCAGTGTAGTCGTTAGCTTCTATTAAGTAACATACCCAACTCAAATTTCCGTGATTCAACCTCTCCATCTCTCTTAAATGATGGATACTTTACCTTACAAATGCCATATGAATCGGATGAATCTGATTTTAGTAAATTGAAGGAGCTTCAACATCAAATTTTGTTTCCTCACTAAAGACTTCAACTATTAACAAGCCCCTTTCTCTATTAGGATCCCTAAGTCGTTCTCTTTCTCCTCCACATCTTTTATCCTATACATCAATTGGGTCATCATATTCAATCATATTTAATATCATTCACAGTAGGACATCATGGTCTAGTGAGGATGAGGAATAGTAGAACTTCCAAGACTAGTGTGACGTATTGGTGTTGCATAACGTCAGGTTTGTGCCTAGTGTTAAGATAAATTTCATCTCTACTGACAAGTTTAGTAGACGAAGACTACATATATGAGCTAGGCGATCGCCAATGTAAGCACATGATAAGATCACAAGTGGCACTTGGCCATAGGAAACCTACAGTATACAAATGTCAATTAGATGTCAATTAGATGTTGATAAAAAATCAAAGAGATCGTAGATTTCAACTAAAGTTTTTGATGATAGTTATTGAGGTATAGTTGAGATCACAACAATATCTTCAGTTCATAAACAATTGGAAAGTCTAGAGGAGAAAGTTGATTGACTATCATGAACCCCCAATTGTCAGACACATGGATGAATTGATGATGTTACTTGGGCGAGTGAAATACATCAAAGTAGAACTTGAGTAGTTGCTAAGGTAAAAGGTGAGGCAGCTTGGTAGTATCTTTTTAAAGGACCAATAATTTAGGTTGGAAAAAGATGTCACGTTTACCACTTAGCTACAATGAGAGGACGTGTCTATCTTATTTTTTTGGTTACCTATAAGGTGCGAATGGAGGACAGTGTCATAGGCGCCTTTAATTGAGTTGGGAATAGTTTATAATGAATGAATATGGACGGCCCCTAAAGACCAACTCCAGGCTGCTACCCCTTGTGAGTTGGTCAACTTCACACCTTCGGAGGTTTCTGAATTTACGCACAAATCAACGTGTTGCACGCCGGTGGCTCAATCTTGCATCGCCTATTTGTCTAACTGCCTTTCATATTGCCGTAGTCAAACACGTTGGTGGCTCAATCTTACATTGCCTAATTGCCCAAAACATTAAGGTAGGACAGATAATAATTGTTCTGACATTCATACGGAAATAATATGAAATTAATTTAATATTTTTTATTGGCAAATTGTAAGTTCAATAAAAATTTATGATAAATTATTCAGTCTCCCAATTTTGAAACCACAATCTAAACGTATTTTTTTCCCATATTCGACAGTCTAGCCTTTGATTTTCTTTTTGCCTATTAAAATAAGTTCTGTTTTTTTTTTTTTTTTTTTTTTTGAAGAAGGCCCGGATTTTACTTTAATTACATTTTTACTAACTGTTGACATTGACTAGTCAATTACGTTCCATTCAAATATGTTCCTAAAATATTGACTTGTTGACATTGTTTATTTTGTTAAATAAACGTACGAATTATGAATTATTCGGCAGGTAAACGAATACAATGCGTAAGATAATGAATATTTAATAGTGAATCAAAAGGCATTTAAAATAAAATACACGTAAATCAATACAATCAAGAAAAAAAAAAAGAATCAATAACCTTTAATTATACTATAAAACATTATTAACATTAATATGCACATGAAGTTCAATTAAATAGCAAATTCTATAGTTTTAATTTGTATTAACATAAGCCGATATGTTATCATTCATTGTGATGGTAAAATATGAAAATTATATATTTTTAGGATAAATTAATTTACACTTATATATTTTAAAAATAATGAATATATATAGTTTTTTTATAAAGAGATTTAAATTTATTTTATTTGGTAAAGTAAAATTGGATTTAATTTCGCCAATTAGGATTAAGAACGAGTCCGAGAAACAGGAGAGGGAAGACCGACGGTTATAAACTAAAGCAATGCAACAAATTTCGGNTCATTTTTCAAAGGCAAAACATCCTCTCTCTCATTCTTTGCAGTCATGACTTCCTTGCCCTCCACCACCTCCTCCTCCTCCTCCCCTTCTTTTTCTTCTTCTTCTTCTTCTTCTTCTTCTTCCCCTTCTTCTTCTTCTTCCCCTTCTTCTTCTTCCCCTTCTTCTTCTTCTTCTTCTTCCTCCCCTTCTTCTTCTTCTTCTTCTTCTTCAATTCATTCTTTTGGATTCCGTTTCTGAATCCGAAATGGCGACGTAGAGACACAGGAAGATAGAGATTCCATATTACCTACTACCTCTTTCTTATTATTATTGTTCCTTTTCTGTCAATTGTCGTAATTTGTTAAGTTTCAACGAAGCATCGCTGCAAGTCCGAGCCATCTCCTATAGAAAGTGACATTGCATCAGGTTTTCCTTATATTGTAACTGAAGAATTTATTTTCATCAACTATCTCAGAAAAATGGAAAGGTTTTTGGACGAGAATTTTGGAGGCGTCAAACCCAAAAACTCGTCTGACGAGGTGCTCCAGAAGTGGAGGGATCTTTGTGGAGTGGTTAAGAACCCTAAAAGGAGGTTTCGCTTTACCGCCAATCTCTCCAAGCGTGGCGAAGCTGCTGCTATGCGCCAGAGTAATCAGGTTCCTCTACATATTCCCATTCTATCAACGATTATTTGATGATTTTCACTGTCTTTGTGATTATCTATATCAGTTTCTTATTTTTCTGATTTCTCCCGTATTGGTTCTAAGACGTGCATACCATACACGGCGCATTATTATTTTCAATGCTCTGGCTTCAGTATATTCTTTTACTGACCAAGTAAAAACACAGATTCGAGATCATTATATCTTTTTTAAAACCTCTATGCAGTAACCATCGAAATAAGATTAAATCTATCACGATCTGGCACTCAGTTTTCGTGTTAAATGATAATTAATATGATATCAAAGCTGACGGTTCTCTTTTAATGGTTTTACTTCCTAAATAATATTGATAGCAGCTCATTGGGCAGACTCACAAAAGTGAAAAACAAAAAGGCTTGTTGGGCTTAGTGCTCATTTTTAATCCATAAAATAAAGGTATTGATTAAAATTAAATTTACCCTAATCCATAAACTATGGTTAGTAATTATGTAACGATAACCATACAGTTAGTTAAAGATGAATGTGATAACAATTTTTTCTTCTGCAATGTAAAGAACCCAACCACTTACAATTGGTTAGGTTGACAGTTTTCTTTTCCGCTATCTGCTGACTTATCCCTGCCTATTATTGTAGGAGAAGTTGAGGGTCGCAGTTTTAGTCTCAAAAGCTGCATTTCAATTCATCCAAGGTTTGTAGTTCTGGAATTTTCATGAAGTAATGTGGGTATGTGTGAAGATTTTCTCATATTTGATGGAACTTGTCTCGGTATGTTAGGTATGCAACCAAGTGATTATAATGTTCCGGAGGATGTCAAAGCTGCAGGTTTCCATATTTGTGCTGATGAACTCGGGGCAATTGTTGAAGGCCATGATCCAAAGAAGTTAAAACATCATGGCGGTGTTGAAGGAATTGCTCAGAAGCTCTGTACATCAACAACAACTGGGCTTAATGGTGATGCTGATGCACTCAACCGTAGGCAAGAGATTTATGGAGTTAATAAATTTGCTGAGAGTGAACAGAGGAGTTTCTTGGTGTTCGTTTGGGAGGCACTCCAAGACATGACTCTCATGATCCTTGGACTCTGTGCCTTCGTCTCTTTGGTAGTTGGCATAATAACGGAAGGATGGCCGCATGGGGCTCATGATGGCCTTGGAATTGTTGCCAGTATCTTGTTAGTTGTATTTGTGACAGCAACTAGTGATTATCGACAATCCTTGCAGTTCAAGGACTTGGATAAGGAGAAAAAGAAGATATCAATTCAGGTTACAAGGAATGATTATAGACAGAAAATGTCAATTTATGATTTGCTTCCTGGAGATATTGTGCACCTGTCTCTTGGGGACCAAGTTCCTGCAGATGGACTATTTGTTTCAGGGTTTTCTGTGTTGATTGACGAGTCAAGTTTGACTGGAGAAAGTGAGCCAGTGATGGTGAGTGCAGAAAGCCCTTTTCTTTTATCAGGAACTAAAGTTCAAGATGGATCCTGCAAGATGATGATCACTACTGTTGGGATGAGAACCCAATGGGGTAAGTTGATGGCCACTCTTAGTGAAGGTGGAGATGATGAAACTCCATTGCAGGTGAAATTGAATGGAGTGGCAACAATTATTGGGAAAATAGGTCTTTTCTTTGCCATCATCACATTCGCTGTGTTGGTTCAAGGATTGGTTAGCCAGAAACTTCGGGAAGGGACTCACTGGAACTGGTCAGGAGATGACGCATTAGAGATATTGGAATTCTTTGCTGTTGCAGTCACAATTGTTGTTGTTGCTGTGCCAGAGGGGCTTCCTTTGGCTGTGACATTAAGCCTTGCCTTTGCCATGAAGAAAATGATGAATGATAAAGCACTTGTCCGTCACCTTGCAGCTTGTGAAAC